GTTAAATTTCAAGATTTTCAAGCTTTCATAGATCTGTCTATCTACACTATTTTTTAATTTTAAACTTTATAGATAAATATGAAAAATATATTTTAAGACTATCACAAAGATTTTCAATATGGAAACGACGTTTCTCGATACTATTTGAAGGTAGGCTCTAATTTGATAGTTTAGATCCTAGGCTCTATACAAACCGCACCCTTTATTTATTAACTTATTTGTATTACAAATTATGCAATGCATTATTTTTTCTTATAGTTGTAAATAAGATTTTTTTCAATTAGATGATATTATAATACACTTAACATTTGTTCTTATTTGTGTATTAAACAATTATAAAATATAAATAAATAATTTCAATTTCAGTAACTGATATTATAATTAGCTAGGTTCTGATAATTTTGGATGAGTAAAGAAATTAATAAATGTTTGATACTTTGATGTGAAACTAATTTTACATAAATTATTTTTTTAATATTTTAATATAAAAGTGTTTTTTTATATTTTTAGTTATTTTGATACAATATTATAATGGGCAATGATCTTATGCAATGGTTATATTATAGTATAATGCAACCACACTTCTAGAAAATCATGTTTGTGGTATTTATATGACCTAAAATTTTGCACACACACTCTCTTCATCTCAATAATCAATAAAAAAAAAAACAGTTAGATTTGAATCCTAAATAGGGTCAAAATGACCTCCCTCCAACAACGAATCTAAACTATTCATTTGGTGAATTTCAAGATCTTAGCTTTTACAAACTCAAAATCATTTTTTTCTTTTTTAACATTGTTCATCTAATGATAATAAAGCTATTTAAAAAATTGGAAAAGAGCTAAATTCCTTCTAAGGCTAGATGTAAACATCTTATCAAAATGAACGGCCTATGTTAATTGGGCTAAAACAATACTTTTTATACTCGATTTTCAAATTATTATTTTTTTGTGATTTTTCATTATAATGAAAAGAGTGTATATTTCAAAATTTAGATCAAACTAATGATCCTAACATAGTTTTTGAAGGTTGTTGCATTATATTATTATGCAACTGTTGCATGAATCACTGCCCTATTATAATATTATATTATAATTAATAATTATACAAATATCCAGACAGGAAAACAACGTCGCAATATTCACCTAGTTTTACAAAGTAATAAAAGTACATAATGGACCAATCGTAATTTCTTTTAGAAACTAAAAAAACATTATTTTTAGATATTTATAGCAATTTTTTAAAAAAACTTTTGAGGTAAAATTTACCAATTCGACCCATTCTTGAATCCGATCCATCCTCCACGACTATGGATGTGAATGAATCGCATCGCGGACGAGCTTTTTTCAACCTTGCATTCAACAAAACCAA